TCATTTCTCTCCTCTCATTCATACAAGTTCTCCAGTGCCATACCGAGCAGCATGAACGCGCTAGATCCTCCAGACACATGCTAGGCCTGTCATTCTCACGGCGTCAGGGAAGTCTCATATTTGAGCCTCTGAGAATCAATAATCTGCCAAGTGGGCGGCTGAACAAGAGAAGCAGCACAATAGATAGGATTGAGGCTAGCTATGACACTCAGTCACCTCACGACAAGGAGACGGACAATAGTGGGGGATAGGATTCATCCTGTGTTAGCGGGAAAGCGTGTTAGTACACCGAGGATCATTTTTTTAATGGGTTTATATTGAGTATATAAACCCGAACGAACGAAGTAGAGTTAAACCGATCGGCCTAACTCGAAATGTAGGAACTCAAGCGAGAACCCAAGACCAGAACTCCTTTGAACGCCCTCCGACCTGTGGTGTCTTATTGCACCGGGTATATCATCCAAGGAGAATCCAAACTCCAGACAATGCTCCCGAAAGCATGGTGCCTTTTTTTCACCGGGCATTCATGCCGTCACTGCCCTCCCTTCTTTTGGGAGTGGCTTTCTCTCTCCACTCCTCATACCAGAGAACCCCACACCCACAGACTCCCCGTTCCCAATACCTTCCTTCGCTTAAAGGTGTTGGGCAATGATCCCATCGACCTCATCTGCCAGGACTTGGTAGATGTAGTCTTGCATGTCCGTAACGAACACAGCGTTGATCTTGGCGTCGAAACTGGGGAACTCCGGATTGCTGTCGAATAGTTCGTCGGTCAAGCGGCAGCCATCACACCAGAGATAGTAGTCTTGTTGCGTGAGCATCACCATGAGCTTGGCCAGAGTGTTCGTCATTTGCTTGGCCTGCTGACCGACTTGTACCAAGCGACTTCGGTATCCCGGAAGCTGGTTCGTCGAAGGATCACTTGTACGCAGGATATCCTGAATTCGCCAGGGCTCGATCGGGATGCCCCTTCTGCGGTGAACTTCAAGAGTTGCAGCGGCTCCAGCCGCGACTTGGCCGAGTTCTTCTGGCCCGTTACACTTCTGACGGAAGTGGTGGCAGATCTGAGCGAGCCTGACGAGATGGGCGTTGAGGGCAACACGAAGGCTCTCGTACTTGTCGATGGTGGTCTTGCTGGTGCGGCCATCTCTCCCGTCAATCTCGCACGCCGTTCCGCTCTTTTGGCACTTGGAACAGGCGTGGCCGGGGCTCCCGTCGCACTTTGTCTTCTTCCTGCGGCACGACTTGCAGGAGAAGGCCCTGACGGCGCGAGCAGGCTTGTCTGGCGTGGCCCCCTTTGGCCTGCGCGGGGCTTTGGCTTTGCCGTTGCCGTTGCCCTTTCCTCTTTTCTGGACTCTTGCGTCCTGATTGTTTGGGCCGAGGACGTCTCTAACGACATTGTCGTCGCCGAAATCCACGTCGAATTCCTGAGCGAATATGCTGTCGGCGGCGGGAGCTTCGGGCGCGAAGAAGGGCCCAGGAGGGACAGGGACAGGAGCGGGGAGAAGAGCAGGGTCAATTGAATATGGCATTTGCTCTTGGAAGTTAAATCCACCGCTGTTGCTGGCGTCCATGCCTCCTGCTGGGCCTGATTCATTGGCGTATACTCCGGCGCCTTGGACGATACCAGAGGTGACAGTTCCGTCCAAACCTTGTGGGGAGGTCGAATTAGACAGGCTGGAGACCATCTCGCTGAATTGGTTTTGGATATCCTCGCTCTCCCAATCAATGTCAATGTCTTGGGAGTTATGAGGCACGACCTCGTTAAGACTTTCGTCCCAGACGTGAGTGACCGGGTAGTACGCCGGATTCATCTGGTAGTCCTGGGGATTCATCTGGTATTCCTGGGAATTCATCGTGTTTGTTGGTTGTAATGAGTATATGATGAGAGGAGTTGTAGTTCAATTGGATTGATGAATGTATGCCAGATGAACTGTAGTGTGATGAAGACTAGAGAAGCTGACAACCACAAGACAGAGGAATGCTTGGCACTTTATAGGAGACAGGAAGAAGCAGAAGCTACAGAGGTTCACGATGCTCCCGCACCCCGGGAAGCATAATTTGAAGAGGATGTATCTCCGGCGATGTCTTTTTGGCTAATGTACACGTCCATGAAGCAAAATGGCGGCAAGTAGAGGGGTTCAGGAGTGTAAAACAGCCACTCGGTGACTGGATTCTGGAGGCAAATACCCGGGCGTCCAGGCACAGGAAACACAGTTCGGAGTGGGAGCGGTAACCTCGAAGACATTTCTGTCCGGGTAAGTGTTCTGGGCATAAGTCACTTGAGGTACCAAAGAATGGTAAGAGGGGATTGGGCACGGTCTGAGGAGTCTGGTGGCGAGTAGAGCAATTGACGCGGAGATAGAGTGAGTTGAGAATGTGAGGCTTGAGGATTCGAGAGCTTGAGGATTACGGACATTGCGGTTCGTTGAGGGAGGTGTACACGACTTCAGAGCATTGGATATATTTCTTGTTAGTATACAGATGCCATTGCTAGATGCTGAAACACAACGGTATTAATTGATTCTCTGTTCTGCCAACTTGGACGAGATTCATTGCACTTTTATTCGTTGTAATACCAATTTCAAGACGATGGATTGACATCAGTCACACAGGAGTGGGCGATGGTCGAGGCAATGAGCATCCGGACTGCCCGCACCTCTTTAGACCATTGAGGGCTGGAGTCATTGTCGTTCCATGGTTAGACACGCAGCCACTCCGGGCTGCCAGACGCAAAGACCAAGAGTACAAACTACTCTAGGTACTAATTGACCGTCCATGAAGTCTTTACTGAGCCAATCCTTAGATATTTCAAAGTACTTAGACCTGGAAGACCTAGGCACGGGGTTGCCGAGGGCATTTCATGCTTCCTTTTCTTACAGATAGTTCCACGGAATCCTGGGTGAAAGTCAAAGGGACTGAAGAGCTTGATGTCCAGTTGACCAAGCCATCAGCACTGACACTTAACCGGACTTTGAATGTGTTCGCTTCTGCGTTGGTCCTACTGTGCGGCTCAGCAGAGGAAAACGAAAGTCCGGTTCTCAACCGTGTAAGTCGGTGTAAGTGGTCCGTGTAAGTGAGCCGTGTAAGTGAAAAGTCAATAGAGTGTCGTCGAATGGTCGCCTGGGGCAGCGAAAATAAGGTTTCGGTTGAGTCAATTGGGTGCGCTGTGCCTGAAGATCCGCCCCACGAACACCCATAGGGCCGGCCGTCTCACTGGGTTGGCCAATGACATCTCCCCTACGCCGCCTGACAGATGCACCAAATGCCTGGTTCAACTGCTTTTCGCCTACTGCCGTACCTTAATTCTACTTTCGCTGTTCTCGTTTATCGCAACTTTCTACGTCCTTTCCTTTTAATTCTACGCCGTTTGAAGCGTAGCACCAAACAAATCTCCTCATATCGTCTATGAGAGGCAACCTGAAGAGGAGTGTGAAAGCCAGGGCCTCTTAATTCATCGGAGATAGCAAGAAGAATCTGCACACCATGTTGGCCTGCACTGTTGCACTGTGGCTATGTGAGCAAGAAGGCGGCGATAGAGCGGAAGTAATCTTGGCCACTGTGTTAAACACACTAAGAACCGAATTCTGAGGAACCCGGAAGGGTAGGTACCTGGACATGGAGGGTGTCTTTCTTCAGGTACCTCACGCTGGAGCGTTCGTCCAGGTATGAGAGTAATTTTTTCGAAACTTCACTTCCCGGACGGAGAAGTGGCGGCGTTGCTCCTCTCCCCGGCGGGAAGCAGATGCCAGATACTGGAGCGGAAGCAAATGGCCGGCCAGGTAGCCAAAACTGGGATACCCAGCTGCGCCCCCAAGTGTTTTGTGTCTTCCATGGGCTCTTAGATGACAGAAAGACTGGAAAGCCGATGCCAAAGCTATGGGTAGAGAGGTTTCATGAAGGCTATTGTTGGAATCTCGTGATTCTGGATTAGCTTTCGTGGTGATTATTGCCTTGATCAACAGCCATAGCTCACATATACAGGGACAGGGGAGGAAGTGAGCTCTGAAGTCTACTGTTGGAGGACTCTGCTAGCATCACACGTCCGGCAATCAAACAATCGGCGAATATCGTCTACCTCACCTGGAATGATGTTGAGAACGGTTGTAGAATTCTTCCTCTTACAGCCTGAACACCGTCACCAGTGGCATAGCCAAATGATAAATGACATACGGAGCACACTAGGACTGTCCATGAAGCCAAGAGCATTGCCCATATCCTCAACCACTGGTCGACACTCTTTTGTTGGTGATGGGCGACAGCAGAGCATGAGTATTAGACGGTAATAAAATACTGTGAGTCTCGCTTATGTCAATGAGTTCTAGACCAGTACATATTTGATACGGAATGCCAATCGAGCCCTGTTGCTTGCCATAATTCGTCATCCTCAAGGCCAATTGTCTATCCAACCCAGGCTGTATCCCACTTATGGAGAGGTAGTTACAGCCCGTTCCGATCCCGTCCCGATGTTGAAGGTCAAGACTCCTCGGCGGCAGCCTCGCTGTAAGATGGGCAACGGTCATAGTCAGTGACGATAAGGTTATCATGAGGAAGCTCATGTGGAGTCTGAAAGTATTGACCCACAATCCTTTCCTTACCCTTACTGCTTGACCAGCAGCACAGAAGACCCGAGTCAACGATAATGGTTAAGGAGTCATGGAAGTTTCCTAAATGATGTCTCTAGATGCTAATTACATGTCAAACCATTTCAGAATCGGATGGTTTCCAGAAGTGAAGACTCTGCAGTCGCCAAAATGAGCATGAGTTGGGTGTTCTTTGGATAGTGGAAAGAGATGTCGATGTTCTCATTTACGGTGCGAAGTATTGAGATCTGGGTAGATCAGTCAAGCTACGTGTAACTCAATTGACTTGGAAGTATGACATGGCGTCACTTGAACGCGATTCAATTCGTTTTCGTTTCGTTATTAAGCTATGGAAGCAATGTGATGATTGTGCTGATATTAGATCGAACTGATTCCTTCCAACAGCATCCCCTTATCTCATAGCAAGGGTAAAAACAGGCCAACAGCGACAGCTACAATCGGAAAGGCCACTGGAACTCTCAACGCCCCCGCAGCACCATCAGGACCGCTGCCCCCCGAAGTAGCCGTTGTAGTTCCCTCGGCGGTTGTGGTGGCCAAAGTCTGGAACGGGTAAGAAAAGTTGACTACAGCCGAGATACCAGGGCAGACACCCTCGAGAAGCTGCTTGGTGTACAAATTTTCTGCCTGGGATGGACAGACAAGAGACAAGCATACGCTAGCTTAGGCATGAGCATAACTACTACTTCGCAACACATCGTGGAAAGTCGAAGAATGGGAGGGATACTCACCGTGCGATACTCTTGTGTGCTGGACATAAGCAATCGGTCAAGACTCCGACGGCATCCGATGCGTCGTTTCTTTGAGGGTTCTGGTCACGTACGGTACGCAGCTTTTCGACCAGAACTGGTCCAGTATGACGGAGTTTGTGCAAGAAGAGTAGAGTCTGGATACTTTCGTTAGTCACTTGCTTTTGGTGACTGAGTAAATTGGAGGATATCATACATCCATGGCCTGATTAGGCCTCTGGTGGTACACTCCTCGTCCCAGGGGGTGATCCGCGGTTTTGATGGCCCGGCCAATGTGGGCATGATACCAGGCACCGACTGCGTCTGTATCGCTGTCTGTCCCGAGACAAGTTGAGGCATGAGCCATATGAAGAGAGTGAGAAGAGGCAGGAAAGCCCTATTTACTGGATGGTTGAATTTTTCCATCGTGGGCATGGAGGTTTGAAGCATGATAAGGTGCAGATTGCATGTAGGCGTTTAGAGAAGGCTCACGCAGAATGACTACCTTACTGCAAGACGCCTCGAGAGAGTAGTTGCCCTCTACGGCGCAGCTCGCCACGCGCGTACGCGATTATTGAATGAAACACAAACATCTAGACTGCCCACGAGACTATTAGACTACCTGGGGAAACCGCACTCGGTCCAATACGCTACACTCTGCTTGCTGTGCCGCCCAGTTGCATCTCAGGATCATGGCTAAATGGTGTACGCCAATCTTGAGCGCGAAAGGCCCTGGTCTAATCTCGTATATTGATTCATACTGAAAGATGATGCAGACTTTGACAAACAAACGTAGGCGACTGGGAGATAGTAGAGATTTGTGTTTTGCAATACGCCATTATGCCATTGAGATGTAGGAATGCGGTTGCGCTTGAGACGTTGGGCTAACACGGGTATTGACCAGCTGGGTCCAGGCGGCGCCACCTGTCCCTGGCCGAGGCATTGTGGAAGCCGACGATATGCGGCCAAGCTCCCCATGCCCCAGCTCTTCTCCAAGGTCTCTGTAACTTGCCGATCGACCCCTCGTTGCCATTCCTCATTCAATTCAACCTCAAAATGCTTGCCATTCGCCCATCAGTCTGTAGGGCGTGCCGAAAGGCCCAGATCCGCCCGGCGAGAGCGTTCGCAACCGCCAGCGGTCCCATCCAGCAGCCGCCCCGCGACAACTATGTGAAGCTCGTCGAGGTCGGTCCTCGCGATGGCCTCCAGAACGAGAAGAAGACGATACCCCTTGCGACCAAGATCGAGCTGATTGAGAGGCTCGCCAAGACTGGTGTGTCTACAATTGAAGGCGGCTCCTTTGTCTCGCCGAAATGGGTTCCCCAGGTAAGCTTACCCAAGTGGCCTGATGAATCTTGGGATCAGTGTTACTGACGGTTGAACGGTTACAGATGGCCAATTCAAGCGAAATTCTCGAGCACCTCCTCACCCGAAAGGTCTCCTCTCCAGCCCAAACATCATACTCATTTCTTGCACCGAATATCAAGGGTCTGCAGAACGCCCAAGCGCTGCTGGCCAAATACCCCGGCGCATTCGCATCACAACTCCAGCCCTCAGCTGATGCTTCGACCCCCGCCGTCGAAGTTGCCGTTTTCGCGGCAGCGACCGAATCTTTCTCGAAGAAGAACCTCAACTGTGACATTGCGACGTCACTAGACCGCTTCCGCGAGGTCATTCGCGAGTCAAAAGCGGCCGGCCTACGCGTTCGCGCATACGTCTCCGTGGTCCTCGGCTGTCCCTTTGAGGGGTACGACGTTGACCCGCACAAGGTCGCCGAGATCTCGACGGAACTGCTGGAGTCAGGCGCCGACGAGGTGTCCCTGGGCGACACCACCGGCATGGGAACCGCTCCCCGGACCAAGGAGCTGTTGAACTGCATGAGGGCTGCGGGAATCCGCAACGAGGATATTGCGATGCACTTCCACGACACGTACGGCCAGGCCCTGGTTAACACGGCTGTGTCTTTGGAGCATGGTATTCGCACTTTCGACAGCAGTGTTGGCGGTCTTGGAGGATGTCCTTACAGCCCCGGTGCGACTGGCAATGTGGCTACGGAAAACATGATTTACTTTATTGAGAGTCTGGGTATGGACACTGGCATTGACCTGGATGCGATGTCTGATATTGGTGCTTGGATCACGGGCGAGTTGAGCAAGGCCAACGACAGCACTGTTGGAAAGGCTGTTTTGGGCGCCAGATCTCGTGAAGCGGCGACAGCGTAGTCTTGAGTTTCTTGAGAATCGAATTGGAGTTTGAGATGCATTTTTCAGTTCTTGTCTTGATCTGTATTATCGCATGAGTTCATTCTGCCCTGAAATGCCCAGGGAAAATGCATTGGAAGAAGGTGAGGTACCTCGTATTACCTTCAGGTTGGAGTGCGGGCAGTCATGTGATGTCACTGCCACAATTCGTGACTGCTAGCGCCCAAGCTGACACTGAGACCGATAATGGCACACTGGGAAGCTCCCAGGCGTCCAAGGCCCGCGCCCCCCAGTCACCAGTGATCTTATCGGCGCCACCTCAGCTTGCCGAGCAGGCTCCACCAAGACGAAGCAAGCTCCAGTGCAGTGCATTCGACGACACTGCACCGACCTGCCAACCTCCTCCAGCTACGTACATCGCAGCGCCTCGCATCGTCTCCATCAATCCGCCCGCCCACGCCCTTCCTAATCGCCCCCCCTCCGACCCAACACGCATTGTCTTCTAATCCGGCGCTGTCTCGCTGATAGTCAGAAGCAATGAGTGACCCTCGGGAGCCCTCTTACTCCATCGTGCCGAGAATTCGGTACAACACCGTCGGCGGTGTCAACGGACCCCTCGTCATCCTCGAGAATGTGCGTCGTCGCCCAGTCGCGCTGGAGTTCCCGCCAGCGAATTATCTGAGTTAGGCACTGATTCTGCATCTAGGTCAAATTCCCCAGATACAACGAGATTGTCTCCCTGACCCTGCCCGATGGAACCAACAGACAGGGTCAGGTTCTCGAGGCTCGAGGTATTTACACAACGTCATTCCTCTGCTCAATAACATGCGTGCTAACGAACATCTCTAGGTGACCGAGCCGTCGTCCAGGTATGCGAAAACGAGCGATCACACGAGAAACACCGATTGACGATGGAAACAGGTCTTTGAGGGAACATCAGGCATCGATGTTAAGAAGGTATGAGATCATCGCATCTCGACAAATATGACGAGCGCTAAAACTCTAGCCAGACGAAAGTCGAGTTCACCGGCCAGAGCTTGAAGCTTGGTGTGTCGGAGGACATGCTGGGTCGTATCTTTGACGGTTCCGGACGAGCTATCGACAAGGGCCCCAAGGTCCTTGCTGAGGACTACCTCGACATCAACGGCAGTCCCATTAACCCCTTCTCCCGCGTATGTGACGCCCCCGAATATCACACCATGGTCTTGGGTTCTGACACGTTGTAGGAATACCCCGAGGAGATGATTTCGACCGGTATTTCTGCCATCGACACCATGAACTCCATCGCCCGTGGACAAAAGATTCCTATTTTCTCTTCGTCTGGTCTGCCGCACAACGAAATTGCCGCCCAGATTTGCAGACAGGCCAGTTTGGTCCAGAAGCAGGGTGTCACCAACAAGGGTGTCCACGACGGCCACGAGGAGAACTTCTCCATTGTCTTCGGTGCCATGGGTGTCAACTTGGAAACCGCCAGATTCTTCACCCGCGATTTCGAGGAGAACGGCTCTTTGGAGCGTGTCACCCTTTTCCTTAACCTTGCCAACGATCCTACGTGAGTTTTGATATCAGAATGTACCGTAAAGGAATGTGCAGGCTGACAACCATGCCAGTATCGAGCGTATCATCACTCCTCGTCTCGCGCTTACGACCGCCGAATACTACGCCTACCAGCTCGAGAAGCACGTTCTCGTTATTCTTACTGATTTGTCCGCTTACTGCGACGCTCTTCGTGAGGTCTCAGCCGCCCGTGAAGAAGTCCCGGGTCGTCGTGGTTACCCCGGTTACATGTACACGGATTTGTCCACCATTTACGAGCGCGCCGGTCGTGTGGCGGGTCGCAACGGTTCCATCACCCAGGTTCCCATTTTGACCATGCCCAACGAGGATATCACTCACCCCATTCCCGACTTGACGGGTTACATTACGGAGGGTCAGATCTTCGTCGACAGAGGCCTTTACAACCGTGGTATTTACCCGCCCATCAACGTTCTGCCGTCTCTGTCTCGTCTCATGAAGTCTGCCATTGGTGAGGGCATGACCCGCAAGGACCACGGCGATGTTTCCAACCAGCTCTACGCCAAGTACGCCATCGGTCGTGACGCCGCTGCCATGAAGGCTGTCGTCGGTGAGGAGGCTCTGTCAGCTGAGGACAAGCTTTCTCTGGAGTTCCTCGAGAAGTTTGAGCGCCAGTTCATCAACCAGGGCCAGTACGAGGCTCGCACCATTTACGAGTCTCTCGACCTGGCATGGAGCTTGCTCCGTCTCTACCCCAAGGACCTGCTCAACCGTATTCCCGGCAAGGTTCTCAACGAGTTCTACCAGCGTGCGGCCAAGGAGGCCAAGGACAAGGGCAAGCAGAGACAGCAGGTGCAGCAAAACGAGGAGAACCTGATTGACGCATAAGCGGGGACGCTAAATGCGGGTGCTTGATATCCCCCAGAAGTCGGCAACGTAGTAGGACAACCAGTCGACGTTGTGTATACGTATGAGGGGGCACGAGAGTGTGAGATGGGCAACTTTTGGACCTAGACAATGGCATGCAATTATTAGTTTCTACACATGCCATGTCTCAGTGATGTTCTTGTGTTTGCGGGAGATGTGCGCGAGATTTGCATCATTTACAGAATTGTTTATTGCATTTGCATTCCCGGAGGAACAATTCGATGTCCAGCCAGATAAACCAGCGTGGACCCATGAGAAGTGACATCGAGGCTTTTGATGGCCAAGATCCGGTCTACAGCGGGTTAGCACGAATGAACCATGGCACGGACCAACGTCGTCAGCCAGGCGCACCGCCTCAGTGAACCCCACATCATCCACACCGAGCCAACTCCCCACCATGAGCATGCGGCTACCTTACCTTACCTCACCTCCCGACCTTACCTGACGCAAGACGAGAGTTCCTGCGCAGAGCAATCCGACGAAGCTACCTACTTTCAACCACACCAGCGACCGACGGCATATAGAAACCTTGCCGTAAACACAACCTCACCTACCGATAAGTGAACCGAACCCTTTGCGTATACGGCATAGCGAACGACCATACCCACAATGTCCATTCACCGGGAGCTCAACGCCGCCTCGCTCAGCGACGCCTGGCGGACCATCAACATTGACGCCCTGCAGGAGGACTCGGCGTGCAACTTTGACACCAACACCCTGCGGCCGCCGCAGCCCGAGATTGGCGAGGATGAGGTCCGGCAGCTCGCGGGCCAGGTGCGGCAGTTGCTCCGCGGCGGGGACGCCGAGGGGGCGTTGAGGGGATGTTTGGAGTTTCCTGTGTACAATGGACCTGATGGCGCCAAGGTGAGATTTAAGACCCGGGGTTTCTGATATCTAGGCATTCGAATGGAGCTCAGGAGGTTGCTAATCGAGTTATTCCGCGAACAGGATGCCCACCTCCAGACCATCACCGAGGTCCTCCAATCCATCAAGGCTTCCGAGATGACGCCCCTCCTCAAGTCCATCTACGGCGGCGCCGGCGGACCCGAGCTCCTCGACGTGCTGATGAAGTACATTTACAAGGGCATGGCCGGCTCTGCGGCTTCTGGAGGACTGAGGTCGCCGCCGCCGCAGGCCGCGCCGAGCGGGTTCAGCCAGATGGGCGGTCGCCCCGGAGCCACCAACGAGAACGTCGGTAGCGCGATGAGCGTGTTGCTTAGCTGGCACGAGAAGGTTGTCGACGTGGCTGGGTTGGGAACTATTGGTCGTGTCATGACGGATTGGAGACGGGTTTAAGGGGGCGAGAAGGACGAGGAGTAGTGAGAGAGAGGGGGCGGAAAAGAAAAGGGGGTGTAATGAACTTCATGACGAGTATGGGCATGCTCGGGGTTTTGGGCGTGTCTTTTTTTACTGAATCAAATTAGAAAAAGACTGGGCGTGCCGACAAATGAAATCCATAGAATTTTTTGTTTTGACTCTGATTTTACAGGTTTTACAGTTGATTTCTTACAAATGTGCCAGGTTCGGCATCATATCTAATTGGACTCTAAGATGTCCTTGAGGTTCACGTCTCCGCTTCCTCTCGGCAGCGCCGTGGGCTGGTCGGCGCCCTCGTGCCACCCGATCATGTAAATGATTCTAAACGTGGCGGGGATGCTCCCGTCCTCGTTGCCGTGGAGCTCCCTGTAGATGCCCTCGTTGGCCAGCAGCAGCTCCCTCCTGATGGCGCCCATTTCCCTGCCGAGGATGGCGTTGCCCTCGCCCATGGCCTGCAGGTCTTGCATGAGCGCAAAGGTGTCTGGGTAGTCTACGACAATGTCGTCCACGTCGACGGTCAGCATCTTGAAGCCGGCGCGCTGCATCAGGCCGCCCACGTCGCGGACGTCAGCGAGGGGAGACACGTGCGGGGAGATGCCGCCACGGCGCTCCTGTTCCGCGAGCTGGAGGGAGGTGCGCAGCTCAAAGAGGCTGTCGCCGCCGAGCATGGCGCCGATGAAGGGAGCGTCTGGCTTGAGGACGTTGTTGATCTGCGTTAGGACGCCCGGGAGGTCGTTGATCCAGTGTAAAGACAGGGAGGAGAGGACAAGGTCGAAGGAGGCGGGCTCGAAGGGGACGTGTTCCTCGTCGACGAGGACGGTGCGGGTGATGGAGATGTCGTTGTTGAAGGGTAGGTCGGCGTCGCGGTGAAGGAGGGTGTGGGAGGACTCCGCGGCGACGAGTTCGCCTATGCGGGTGGCGAGGGGTTCTGAGATTGGTTTCGAGGGGTCCGGGTCTGGGTTCTCGCGGGTGAGGGCGCGGGCTACGTTGCAGGAGTTTGCGCCTAGGTCGAGGGCGCGGGGAAAGCTTCGTTTGATGTCCTGTTGGAGAGCAATGTATTAGTGTCTGGTTTGTCTCTAGAGGCATTGGCCATCGTGGATGCTGTCAGGTTGAGGTCTGCCGTAAAGCAATGCTCTGGGAGAGGGGGATCATGGATATGATGGTGGTGATGTTCTCACCAGTAACCTCTCGCACAGCCGGTTTGCGACTTCATCTTTGAGGTAATCTGCTTGCCGGCTGGCCTCGGGATTCGATGCTGCGCGCTCCTTTTGCAGCCATTTTGTGCGACGGTTGAAGACCTGAAAGGCAGCAGAGCCGCCGCCGGATGTTACGGCGTAGGACCGGCGTATGGTTGTGGAGGGGGATCCGGCGAAGAACCGGGAGCTCGGTGCGGCGGCGAGGCACACCACCCGTCTGGTCGTGGAGTTCATCACCGGCGCCGCATATCTGCACCGGAGTGCTGAGACGGACATGGGGGAAAAGGATTGTGTGACTTTTTGGAATTGAGAATCCTGCAGAAGAACAAAGAGACGGTGGCGGCTGTGGTATGTGGTAGGATTTGGGTTTTTTGTTGAATAAAAGAAGGTTTTCTTATTATGGATTGACAGACGGGAGGGGAGCTCTTTCCTTCTGCATGGGAATTTCAGCAACTTCGATGATGCAGTACTTTGGTTTGGCTTGTCAGCACACTTTGGAGCTTGCCAATTGACGGGAACCAACCGAGTTTAGCGCGCATAGTTACGTACCTTTCTGACGGGGAAGGTGTCGCTCCTGCACGGGCCTGTAGCGTGCGTGCCCCCCCGGTCAAAGTCCCCTCTCTTGAGTTTCTGTCTCCCCAACTTCATCAGTCAGCAACGGGGAGCATGTTCAATGGCTTGAGAAATTGGTCGATGGAAGTACCTTGCAACACCCCTGACGCGCCCAGTCTTCAAGCAGCGGGCACACTGGGCGCACAGCAGCAAGGCCGCCCGCGAAGAGCCCAGTCTATGGGGGACAAGTGTGACAAGCAAGCACCTGATAGACGCTGGGACGCTTACCTGACTGTCCTGACGTTCAACTCGCAGCAGCTGTTGATGCCCGTGTTGCGTGTTGTAGACATCCAGGATGCTTTCGCTGAGGTGAGAGGTACATGACCTGTAAAGAAGTACAAGCAGAGGTACCTCGGAGTGGTTTGACGGGCCCGTTCAGACGTCCAATGTGCGGGTGGCACATCTCCACACATTGGCTGCATTCCCAATCCCAAGCCTTCCGGGCTTCTCTAAAGTGTCGTTTTCTCCCAAGCCCGCGAAAGCCCCTCGAACCCCTTTCCTTGGAGTTTCGTTTCCCATTTCACAGTTCCGCCCAGTGCAACATCGCGAATCGACGCCGAAACCCTTACAAGGCCGAACTCAATCTCGAGTCAACCATCAGCCTCTGTCCATTGTCGATAACCCCCTGGTTGCGTCTTCATTACTCGACGGGAACACATTGCTAAGACACGCAGCGGCACTTGCCGGTCGGTTTCGAGTTCGAGTCGCCGAGTCCACAATCCCGCCGTCCACCGATCCGACCGTTGATCTCCCCAAAAACTCCACGCGGCTATCAGCAGTTCAGCTGGGGTAAGCGAGCAGAAATACGAGAAGAAAGGACCCTCGCGCGCGCATGGAGTGATTGCCCAACGCTCGCATCGGAGCAGACAACAACACACGACCCGACGCCAAATACACACCACCCATCGATTTCGCATCCGCGACGCTCTATTACGAAACTCTCGTAGCGAGTCCAACAACATCCGCCAGCTCAACCCCTTTCATCCCGCGCAGAAGAGGGGGGAAGGCATTTTGGAGGGCAGAGGAGACAGCTTCAAACAGATTGCCCGTCGAACCCGGCAAACACCGCAGCCATGTCGTCCTCCGCGAGCGGCTTCCTCGGCCGCTCGACTAGCAACAACTCCAACATGCGAGGGTTGGTGCAATTCATTGCCGATTTGAGAAACGCAAGAGCTAGGGAGCTGGAAGAGAAGAGAATCAACAAGGAGCTGGCCAACATTCGGTGAGCACGCATCTCCCGGCATGTCATACTGCGCTGTCTCGCGACGGAGTACTAACAAGAGTTCCCACGTTTAGACAAAAGTTCAAGGGTACGAATCCGTTTTAGCGGTCAGTCGGCGCGATCTTGTTGTGCTAACTCCTTTGCAGATGGCAACCTGAGCGGTTATCACAAGAAGAAATACGTGTGCAAGGTACGGACTGTCCTGAGCTGCATTGGCTGGTGTTTCGTGCTGACAATCTATGAAGCTCCTCTACATCTACATCCTCGGATGGAATGTCGACTTTGGCCACCTCGAGGCCGTCAACCTCATCTCGGCGAACAAGTACTCGGAGAAGCAGATCGGATACCTCGCCATGACCCTGTTCCTCCACGAGAAGCATGAGCTGCTGCACCTGGTCGTCAACAGTATAAGGAAGGACTTGCTGGACCACAATGAGCTGTTCAACTGTCTGGCTCTCCACGCAATTGCCAATGTCGGTGGCAGAGAAATGGGAGAGGCCCTGAGCGGAGAGGTTCACAGGCTTCTGATTTCGCCGTACGTTTGGTTGACCCCAGAGTATCAGGCCAGTGACTAACAGCAGCGATCCAGAACATCCAAGGCGTTCGTGAAGAAGAAGGCCTCACTTACCCTCCTCCGTCTATACCGCAAGAACCCCGACATTGTCCAGCCGCAATGGGCCGAGCGCATAATATCGCTTTTGGATGACGTAGATGTCGGTGTGGCTCTGTCTGTCACGTCTCTCGTCATGGCCCTTGCCCAGGATAATGCGAATGCATACAAGGGGGCGTATGCGAAGGCCACAGCAAGAATCAAGAGGATAGTCATTGACGGGGAGTACACTCCGGACTACCTTTACTACAAGGTCCCTTGCCCCTGGCTCCAGGTCAAGCTTCTGCGTCTACTGCAGTACTTCCCTCCTTCAGGTGAGTTACACATGAGAATTAGGCTAGCTAGCACAAGCTAACCGCCTTAGATGACACTCACGTCCGCGAGATGATCCGAGAGTCGTTGCAGAAGATTCTGAACCTCGCGATGGAACAAACGAAGAACGTCCAGCAGAACAACGCACAGAACGCTGTGCTCTTCGAAGCTATCAACCTCATCATTCACTTGGATAACGAGCAAGCCTTGTTGAAGCAGATCTCATCTCGTCTGGGCCGATTCTTGACCTCAAGGGAAACCAACGTTCGTTACTTGGGTTTGGAGGCGATGACACATCTGGCAGCCCGCATCGAGACCCTGGAACCGATCAAGCAGCACCAGGACGTCATTCTTGGCTCACTTAAGGACAGAGATATCAGCGTGCGGAGGAAAGGTCTCGACCTTCTCTACAGCATGTGCGACTCGTCCAATGCCCAAGTTATTGTCGGCGAACTTCTCCACTACCTCCAGAACGCCGATTTCGCCATAAGAGAGGAGATGGTGCTGAAGATTGCTATCTTGACTGAACGATATGCCACTGACGTTCAGTGGTACGTGGACATCTCGCTGCGTTTGATTGCCATGGCTGGTGATCACGTCAGCGATGAGGTGTGGCAGCGAGTCATCCAGATTGTGACGAACAACGAGGAGCTGCAGGTTTATGCGGCTCAGCACTCCTTGCAGTACGTCAAGTCGGATCACTGCCACGAGACTCTGGTCAAGATCGGAGCCTACATCTTGGGCGAATTCGGCCATCTCATCGCCGACCAGCCTAAGTGCAGTCCCATTGAGCAGTTCATGGCTCTTCAGAGCAAGGTTGCCGCCTGCTCATCAAGTACAAGAGCCATGATCCTCTCATGTTACGTGAAATTTGTCAACCTCTTCCCCGAAATCAAGCCCCAGCTTCTCAAGGCATTCCAGGTATTCAGCCACACGCTTGACTCTGAGCTTCAGCAAAGAGCATGCGAGTACCTGACGCTCGCCACACTGCCGACAGACGACCTTCTCCGCACTGTATGCGACGAAATGCCACCTTTCTCCGAACGACAATCCGCACTACTTGCCAGAGTGCATCAGAAGCATGCCAACACTAGCGATAAGAGAACTTGGATTGTTGGTGGCAAGGATGCGAACGCAGATGTGGCAGAGATGAAGATGGCCAAGGAGGGTGGCCTCAAGAGGACCTTCAGCACAAATACAAACGGCCATCACGCGGCTAACGGAGGCACGAACGGAACAAACGGCCACGGCAACGGTGTGAACGATTTGGCCGGCCTGGACATGAACAATCTCGGACCTGCCGAACCCAAGACGAAGGCACCAAACCTGGCCAGTGCCGCCCACTTGTCTCCTAACTGGGATGTGGGGTACAACAAGCTCCTGCTTAAGGGCGAGGGCGTGTTATATGAGGATGGGCAACTCCAAGTCGGCGTACGTTCCGAGTACAGAGGCCAGATGGCGTGCTTGATCTTGTACTTCAAGAACAAGACCCCTACGGCCCTGGGCTCATTCACCACAACACTAGATCTTGACGAAAACGAAAAGGGCAAGCTTACATGGGACGTGAAGAACCTGCCAGAGAGCACAATCTATCAGAATGGGCAGTCTCAGCAGGTCATCATGTTCGAGTCGAAGAAGGTGTTTGACAAGAGCCCGACAATACGTATCAGCTACCTTGCTGGTGCCCTGCAGGCTGTTACCCTCAAGCTTCCCCTCACCGCACACAAGTTCATGGACCCCGCGGATCTCTCCGCCGAAGACTTCTTCAGGCGCTGGAAGCAGATCGGCGGTGCCCCTCGTGAGGCACAAGCGATCTTTGGTCTGGCACCTGGAAAGTCGGATAGAGAGTTGAACGAGTTCTTTGTACGCCAGACAGTCGAGGGCTTCAGATGGCGTGTCCTTGACGGTGTCGACCCTAACGCGAAGAACTTCGTGGGTGCCAGTGTCTTGCACACCTCAGAGGCTGGCAAGTTTGGTTGCTTGATGCGTCTTGAGCCGAACTACGGAACCAAGGTTTGTTTTACCCCTGATATCATACTAGTTACGATTACTGACTCTGCCTAGATGATTCGTCTCACGATCCGCGCCACAGACGAGAGCGTCCCTGCTGTCCTCCTCAAGGTTATGCAGGACCGTCTTGCTGCTGGCTTCACGCAAGAAAAATTCCAAGCCCCGACACCATCCGAGATATCGGACGCATTTAGCAACATTCTGGTTACATAGCGCAAAAAAGGGAGGCAGTCCACACCACCGTTGTAATACACATTTTCACACAAACCAAAATCACTTTCTTCGTAATGACACATACCCCACAACACTTTTTGCCTTTTCGTACCCCTTTCTTGTTTGCCTTGCTGTCATCTCTTGATTTTCGGTCCTGAAAGTGTTCCCTTTTTTATATCTGCATGGCAAAGCTATTAAGGGTGGCGTCGGGAGGCATCGTGATAGCAGTCGTTTCCGTGTCGAGGTAGTTGAAGAAGCCCCTTTTGGGTGGTGGGAGGTGTTGTCGTTGGGGGACTTAATGAAAAGTACATGTTTGTCAAGATTGATCTTCATGATGTGCCTATTGTCTGTGCTAAAGCCTCCCAGTTCGATTCTCTCGCACAGCGCCTGCCTGCTTGATCTATGCGACACCCGCCCCGAGATGAAGATGCTGTTGGCGTCAGTCATTGTCGAACCCCTTACGTTTTCTCCTGTCGAAACAAACAACGCCTTTCAGAGACAGCCAACGAAACCGGGTTTCCAGTCACCGCATCCGCATGTCAGCCTCTCGATAGTTGTCGCCCATCAGCATCAATGCTTAGTTCAAACCGTCTTAATCACGAGATTCCCCAAGCATTAACATCTAGCTCTCCCTCCCTTCAGCTCGCCGGCGGCGTGTGAGTAGCATTCTCCGTCAAGCGCGAACACCGCTGACTGTTTATGAGCCTGCTTCGTGCCGCTCGAATACCCAGGCCCAACGTCGATTAGCGATCAGGTACCTGAGCGGTCTGTATACCTCACGTACTGCGGTCAAGTTTCTGTGGGAGAAAACAAAGTAGCCTTTCGCCTGCTATTCCGTGTCGGGCTCCTACTCTGGCGCCACCAATAGCTTTCTTATGCTGGATGCCGCTAAGATTGCTCGAACCATCATAACGTACGCGTCTCTCATATGTGACTATTGTAAACAAATCTAATATATTATCTCATAGCAATATGTAATTGTAGTCTCTTGCGACCTTTTGTCAAGTTTCGGTGGCGGTTCGTTTCTCCAAACAGGCTCGATCTCGGACTCCATCTCGCCCTTGGACTTGAAGAAACTCTCAAACTTTCTAAAGCCCGGGGCTCGTTATTGCAATTCTCGCGTGTTCCTTGTACCAAGAAATACAGTTCCATATTCTGGATCATCGATCGGGCTTCTTCTGGTGCTCAGTCCAGGTTGAAGTGTAATCGTCATTGTTAGGAAGGGCGAACAATGCTAGCTCCTGTTGGTGCTTCCCTACATGGACTTCGTAATTCTCCAAGGGCATCTTTTCGAGGCAAAAAGGGCACGAAAGTTGGACGTCATTATCCACGGGATCAGACCACATTGTGACGTTGGTATGGTCCTTATGCATTCTAGATAGTTCATCTGAATGCCGTGTTTTCAAATGCGTTCTGCACTCGGGTTCTGACGAGAATGTGCAACCGCATCCGGAATTGCAGTAAAATGTGCTGAAGTGATGGTCGACCATGTGCTTCATCCAGTCGCGGCTTCTGAAGAAATCAATATCTGGCATCTCGCAGTCTTTTGCCAAGCAGCTATATGGGCGCAGGTCGTCGTACACATGTTGTCTAAGAATGATTAGCGGCGATAATCAAGGCTTTTATGACTACTTGAAATACCTCCATGTGTGATAGTCTCGTGTCCTAACACGCATGTAGCAAAATTGGCATTCGAACGGCCCGTCTTGTGCTTCCTCCGGCAGGTCTGGGATCGGCCTTGATGTGGGGTCGTTTGCCCTTGTTTCCCACGGGACGAATTCGTCTGAGGAGAAAACTGATAAATCATAGCAGATGGTGCTCTCTGAGACTTTTTGAGAGCGATCAGAGATGGAAGATGCCATCGTATCCTGCTGAATGTTTGTTATGTTGTACGCCTGGTCGTCTACAGGTTGCGAAAGCCTTTCGTGAAGAACCTTCCTGTACTTGAAATACTGACGCCTCCTTGAAAGTGCTTTTCCTAGCCGTTGGGCAAGGTAGTCTTCAATTCCCTTGAACTTGGTGCTTACGTGCTGGATATCGAATGCCTCATATGCAGAGGTATCTATTAGCTCTGAGCTGAGGGATGCGTACCATGGATCTGGGGTTTGAATAGATTTTTCTAGACTCCACAGAGCAGAGCGTCTTTTGCTAACCTCGCTCACGATTCTGGCTAAGTCTGCGAGGAGGGGAGGGACGTCGTCAGGGTTCGCTTCTAAATAGACCTTGATATTCCCTTGAGTCAAGCTATTCAACATGTGGCCATCAGGCGAACTCAGTGCCGTCTGCAGATCTTTAACAGATTTGGAGGTATTGCTAAGGGTCTGAAGGTAGTCGTTCACAAACGTCAGAGTCTGATCTTTGATCTTCGACGCGTCTCGCAGCCGGTAGTCGAGGGAGTTGCGGTTAATTTTGTGCGCGTTAAACAATCTAGCCCAACGTCCGAATGTGAATTTTTCATCCGCCAGGCGCACTCGAAGATATTGGTTCAGTGGATGAGGCTCAGGATCTTGGGCGACTGGTAAGACGCTAGAGAATCGGTTGTTCGTCTCCAACACAGCACTCATGATACTCTTTGCCATTGCATCGACGTGAGGTCATGAAATGAAGGCTGACGTAGGCTGAAAAGGCTGTGTCTGATTGGTGTTCATGCTTTTTTTTCTTTCTTTTAACTCACCAGAGATTGCCACTAGAGACACATATTTATATGTCAGTTTTCCACATGAAGAACAAAGGAGCCCATCGATACTGTTCTGGTTCAGCTGTGACGAGGTCACGTTCTCTAGCCGAATGCTGCATGTGACAGTGAACAGAGTTGCTTTGTCTTTGAGAAAGCGATGATCACTCTTTGTGCACCAAAAATATCAATCGATGGTGTGTAGGTCAGACTGGCTCATCCCAGGAACATGGTCCGCGGAGCTGTTTCTTGTCGCTTCCCTCTCAGTCGTTCGACACGTTTAAGCACGTAATAGAAGCAGCCATAAAATCTATGAAGAGACATCTTGGCCTTTGTACTCAAAGGAAAGTGAAAAGAATTCCACCTTTTAAGCCAAGTTCTCCTGTTCGCTACATTTAACTCGAAGAAGGGCCAGATAGACTGAAGGGTCCATGATTATGAGGGAATTTAAGCGTGCGAACTCTGCTCTCAAAGCTTCCAGCCGCGGACAAGAACGTAGCTAGACTATCCGGAAAGACATGACACCCCTGGAGTCCATGATTTACTAGAGTCGCAACCTTGAACCTGCCTAAGAACAGCGGTACATAGGTATTGAACTCGAAGCAACTGTGGTATTTGATCGAATTGCTAAAGGTGGAAGATTTGCGATAACATTATACATCCATAGACAATATTTGATCATCTTGAGGCCACTGCAATAGCTCTATTGCTCATCAATATGAGGGTTGCTGTCATATCTGGGTTTTCGGTTCTGGAAGTGTTGTCCTTCTTTTTAAGTACCTTATTACATGGCAAAGCTACTAGGGGTGGCATCGGGAGGCATCGTGGTCACAGTCGTTTCCGTGCAGTTGAAGAAGCTCCTGTTAAGGGGTGGAAGGTGACGTCGTTGGGGGACTTAATGAACAGTACATGTTTGTCAAAATATAAAGGCCATGGCAATGCTGTTCGGAATGTGCTGATGCTATGAAAATTTCTATTTTATTCACTATCAAAAGAACGACACTACTTCTCCCCAATCCGCCATGCGGTACGAACCAAATCGTGGTATCAGTCACAGCCCCCAGCCCACAGATTCTCACTCAAGTTGCGTCGGTCTCTCAGTGATGGGTTTCCAGCCTCGACTGGTCGGACCCGTCATTATGGGCTTGGTGTTCCAGAGTGGCGGCCTTGGCGACATCTGGCTGTCTGGCCTTTCCAAGGCGAGCCGCTAAGACCGCTTCTTCTGGAACGGATTGCTTATATTGACGGTGAACATAGACGGATCATTGTCAGGGCGCCGGCCCTTGGGGTCAGTTTTGACCCCGCTGTCAGAGTTAGCCTCGGCCTCGGCCTCGGAGTCAGAGTCTGAATCTTGTTTCTTGTTCGAGGCCTGGTTGGCTTGGCCTTGTTCAGGCTCCGGTTCATCAACATGGGGGAGGGCGAACAGAGCTAGCTGCTGTTGATGCTTCCCTGCATGATGCCGATAGCTCTTCAACGACGAGAGCGTCTCGGAGCAAAGCTCGCATGTTACTTCCGCGTTCTCGTCCAAGGGCTGAGAATTCCGCTTGACCAGGTTGTTGACATGTTCGTCACGTATCGTATTACGATGTTGCGTCTGTAAGTGTTCTGCAGACTGAGACGCAGACTTGAAGGTGCAGTCGCAATTGAAAGGGCAATACCATATCCTCAGGTGATTTTGAATCATGTGATGCATCCATTCATGCCTCTTCCCGAAATCTTGATCTGGCATGATGCAGTCTTTGGCTAGGCAATTGTACGGACGTAGGTCGTCGTACACATGTTGTCTAAGAATACAGGTTAGCTACGGTACAGAGAACGTGTGTCATGGGATGGTGGATTACCTCCAGGCGCGAGTGTCTCTTATGTCCACAATCATGAAGCAGAATTGACATTCGAATGGTCCATCGTATGCTTCCTTTGGTAAGTCTGGGACAGACCTTTCTTGAGCATCTTCTAAGGTCGAAGCGTCGTATGAGGTCACAGAAGCCACGTCTTGAGACTCGCTAAAGTCGTAGATTTGCGGGAGTGGCTTCGAGTGATTGTAAAAAGAAGATGCAACGGTACTTGAAATGGTGTCCGTTACGTTGGCGTCTGCCTGTTCATCCATTTGACGCGAAAGCTTCTCGTGACGAAGCTCTCTGTACTTGAAGTACTGACGCCGCCTCGAAATTGCCTTTCCCAAGCGCTGCGCAAGTTGACTGTCGATTCCCTCGAATTTTGCGCTCACGTGTTGAATGTCATAAGCTTCAAACATCGAGGTGTCTGTACGCTTCGAGTCAATGAAGCGGTCCCATGGCGCTGGGTTCTGAATCGTAATAATGAGTCGCATGAGACAGTTGATGATGTCAGGAAAGCTTTCTATGTATACGTCAAGATCTGCGATTATGTCCTCCTGATTGCCATCCTCGCGCGCATTTGATTGTAAACCTAAATCATTGAGAGCTTTGACGGCGCCGTCAATGGATTTTATGAGACTTATCAGGAGCTTCCCAACATGAAGTCTTAATCCTGACGCATCGCGGAGTCGATACTCCAGGGAAGAGCGGCCGGTTTTGTGCGCGCCAACATTTCCAGCCCAGACTTTGAATCTGGCCTGCTCATCCACAAGCTTCGGGTGAACGTCCAAGGATGGGCGATGAACGATGGGATTTTGGGTAGTGTTTAGAAGATGAGAGAAACGAGCTATTACTCTCGAGACAAGACTCGCGATACTGTCTGCCATCTTCTCGATGTGATGGGGTGAGGATGAGGACTGAGGCAGGTTAGCGAGACCATGTCCGGCTGACTTTCGCACGTCTTGTACTCACAGAAGTTGCCGTGAGAGACGCGGAGACGTCGGCCAACATTCGGGACAACGAGCGAATGAGCACGCGACTCCAAGCGCTGTCGAGGCCAGCGGCAGGTTCCAACGCACGTTTCCAACGCACGTTTCCAACCGAAGGACATATTTAGCAACATTGATAAGATTTTCGACCCTTTGGACAAATGATGAACCCCGTGTTACGCACGTATCAATAAACATATGCTGGGTAGCTTAGGCTGGCCAATCCCAAGGAGATACTTTTCCGGGCCAAGTGTGACACTGCTTCCCATTGCTCGGGATGACTTCCCATCTCTCCTTCCTCTTTCCCTTCCTATTTCTCTCATGTTTTGTTTCTGTTTCCCTCCAACCTTCCTCTCATTTCATTCTCAGCAAGTTCCGAAATCAGCCCCAGCGACAGCCCTCTCAGATACTGTTCAATTGACCATGTCTGGCTTCGAGATAGCCGGTCTCGTTCTGGGCGCCATTCCCCTCATCACGAAGGCTTTTGACGACTACAGGAGAGTTGTTGCGTCGGTTCAGGTCTGGCGCCATTACGAAGTTGAAGTGAGTTGCCTTATTTTGAACCTGAATTCGGAGTATTACAGGCTGGAGAGGATCTGCGGGAAATATCTCTCTAGTCTGGATCCAGGCACGGACTTCGACAGCATGACCAGCGACCCATTCGGTCCGCTCTGGAAGGACGAAGTAGTGCAGAGAAAGATCAAGGCGCGACTTGAGAGCTCATATGGCAAATTTCAGCTTGTCATGGAAGAGTTCCGGAAAGCTATCAACTTTATCAAGGATAAACTTGACCTAGATGCTCAATGGAAAGTGAGTACATGCTCTTATTTATAGCCCACCTCCGTAATTCGCTAACTTCAAGATAGGTCAAGTGGACAGAGGAGTCCAAGATTAAGGCAGAATTCAAACGCGCAAGCTTTGTTCTCCAGAAATCGGTATACAAAGATGCACTTGAAAGTCTTCAAAAGAACCTCTCGATTCTAGACTCTATGATGAAAGACGACATGGACGCGGAACCTCAACGGCAAAAACGATACAAGGGAAGGCTGGTCGGTCTGATACGTCAGACATCTGGAAACATCTACTATGCGTTACGAGATAGCATGCCCTGCAAAATTGATTGCAGGCATCAAGTCCACATGGACATAGCGCCTGATTCCGAGGATGCCACCCACGAGCTGGACGATGCTGAGATCATCGAAAAGCTAGGATTCCAACTCGCCATGACATATCACACCAATACGAGCGAGGTGATTCCCGAGAGACCTGGTCAACAAATCATCTTGGAAGAAGTAACTGTCAGAGCTTCCGCACCACAAGTCGCCTCCCTCTTGGAGCCAACGCCAGCAACCCAGTCGCCTTCTCACCCTCAGCGCAAGGCTGTAAGTTTTGCTTCGTCGCGGAATACCACCGTCACCACAACCTATATCAAACAGCCGAGCACCACAGCAGCGTTGACAAGCACGATGTCAACTCTGAAGCTCACTGCTGGGGCAATCAACCTCCCCAGACAAGTCAATATGTGTGAAGAGTTGCGCAGAAGTCACGAGAATGGCATATCGGGCACGATATCTCACCAAAACGCAGGAAAGTCTTGGAACTTCACCATTTACCCCAAGAAAACCACAGAAACTCCAAACAGCAGGTCCGTCATATCTCTGAAGCAGATCCTGGAGAATCCTCCCAAGACCAAAATGCCCTTCATGGCCAAGATCCATCTAGCCAAGATGATATCTTCGAGTTTCCTCCAACTTCATCAAACTCCCTGGCTACCAAATATCCTGACAAGCCAAGATGTATACTTCATCACGGATGGCTCACGGCCTTATCCCAACCTTAAACAGGCCTTCATCAAGAAAGAACTTCCCGGAAAATTTCCGAAAGATCGTTCCATGAACATCGATGCCCGCGGACTCAGCAGCTCCCCGCTTCTCTCACTTGGAATCTTATTGCTAGAGCTCGAGCTTGGTACTACTATCGGCAAACTGCGGCGTCCGGACGAACCCTCAGATGCTGATGTGGTAGAGAGATTGCTGGAAGAGACGCCCTTAGATGCCTTAGGTAGCGGACGTTATAAGTCTGCCGTCTTCAGGTGTGTTGGAGGAAACTATTTCCGGTCCACGCAGGACTTTAACGATGAGAATTTTCGAAAAGCTGTATATGAACGTGTAGTCGCACCGTTGGAAGCTGACTTGGAGGAGTTCACCCTGTGATGTAAGAACTGTGCTCCGGCGAGAAGGAAGTCAGTGCCGAGCAAGATTTCGCCGGAACCCTATTCTAGTATAATGAGAAGAGTAGCCTTAGCGCGATACGCACAAGGCACTCAACTCGAAGTCCTCGGGGCGTCTGACTGAATTGTTGAGGTGGAAGACTTGCTATGGCATGTCATCACCATAGCCAGAAGTCGATCATCGTCAGGTCAATTTTATGTTTGTATTGCTACACAATATTGATGCGACTCATTAATATCTTGTGACTCCAGACCCTGTCCGTCCTGTGTATAGAATCATCACGAGCATTCGTGCCTTATCCGAAAAGTGATCTCGTCAGACTCCCCGATTCGCTGGCCCCGCTGGTGACCACTCTCCTCCGAACAGCGCTCCGAGAGTTCTTCAAGCTGGCATCAGGGGTGAAACGTGCGAATTGATATCCAGAAACCATGCCACGACCTTGTTAAATAATCTACCATCGAGTCTCCCATGCTAATTCCGTACTAACGAGCTGGAAAATGGGTATCTTCCATGGCGCTTGGCGGTATGATATGAACTCGAGTCTCGTAAGGCAGTTGATAACGTCGTTAATATCCTCCAATGGCTCTGAAATTGCTATGAAGATGTCAGATACATCGTCCGCGATTGAGTCAAACACTACGGCAATTGCGACGAATAAACGCACCCTATGCCCACGCCATGACTACCTGCTCAATGAACTTGACAGGTTCTCTAAGCAAGGAATCAAGTTGATTTATCAAAACACTTGCGGAGGACGATCTACATCCGACGTTGATCCGGTGTTCGAGAGAAAATCTGTCGGTGTTGCGCGCTCCATGTTCCTCAACCCAGACTTTGAATCTAGCATGCTCATCCCTAAGTTTGAATCCAGTGTAAGAAATACCATACAAGAAGACGTTAAGGGGTTCAACTTTGTAAGTCTGCGACAGGTCAGAGAAAAGAGCTTCTGCTTTCGATACGAGACCAGCTAAACTGTCTGCTTTCGGCTCGGAGGGACGATACGGGAATTCCATGGTAAGGCTGTTTCTGACTTGTTCTTTTTTCTTTTCAATTCATCGGCGAGCTCTTGGGTAGGCGTATTTATATGCTGTTGTCCCGGATAACGAACAAAGGAGCGCAGCGACACTGTTCAGTTTCAGTTGCAACAAGGTTCTTCCCAAATGACATCTAACATTGGACATATTTTTATTGTCCTAATCCAGGTGATTATATCGCGTTCTTCTTGGACTGGGCTGGATCATACTGATTCGACGAGAAGGCACCTCATCGTTGTTCGCGTGCCTCTCCTCCACACCGCCCTCTTGGCCCTCGCTTTCGATCAGTATGGAACGTTTGCCAGAAGATCCATCTCTTTGCAAAGTCCCTACCACACCAATTTCGATCTAGTCGTCTCCTAAAATGAAAATAGGAAGCAACCGCCGTGATGGCATAGAGACGACTCCATTGCACCTCAGTACCAAGACACCTCGTCAAGATCTTCCATCCTTACTCATCCGTAAAGCAGCGGTATTCCAAACTTCTTCAAAGCTGCTGTCTATCTTCAGCCACCAGTCTTGCTGGTTATCACCTTCCTCCGAAGATATTTCGAATTCGGGGGACCAGATCGATGAGCGATGAGAAGACACTTTACCACCTTTTTCTCCCTTTTCCCTGCTGACCTCCTGGCCCTCGCTCGCGTTAAGGATTGAAACTGGGCCTGAAGAGCTAGATTCTAAGCCACGGCCTTGCCATAACATTTTCCATCGCCTTCCCATGCGCTCCTCATAATCTTTCTGGGCTTCAGAATTCCGCCGCTCCCCACACATTTCTCTCTCCGCTTCACGCTCTTCGCGTTCTCTCAAATTCCGAGCGGCTTTTATTCGAGAGGCCTCTGCAAAAACTTTGCGCACCATTTTCCTTATCATCATTTGTTCTCTTGCCTTCTTGTACTCTGCCTGTTTTCTTCGTTGTATGTCAACTTGTGTTCTCAATAGAGGCTCACTTAGGAAAGCAAACATAGCCGCTTCCCTTTGGTGTTTGCCCACGTGAGATTGATACTGAGCAATAGAGCCCATGGTTTGAGAGCAGAAGGGACAAGACGTGTTTGTTTCCTCCTTCATCGGACTAGAACTGAGGCTGATCAAGGTATCTAGTTGACTCGGGGGTATCATGTCAGGATGCCGTTGACTTATGTGGGCAGCTGACGCGATCGCATTTGGGTAGGTCTCATTGCAGCCTAGTGGGCATTGATATGTTCTCAAGTGGTTGGCGAGCATGTGCTGCATCCAACGAGTCTCTTCTGAGTACTGCTGGATAGGAATTATGCAATCCCTGGAAACGCAAACATATGGTTGTAGATCACCCAATACGTGATGCCTTTAATTTTTTGAGTTAGTCTAAATCTGAAGTGCATGAATGGCAGCATTGAATTGCTATGCTATCTTACTTACATCCACTTATCTTGGTCACTGTGACTGAGCATCAGCGTCATATTGCAATATGGGCACTGGAATTCATCTGATGTCGACTTGTGAAGCACACTCTCCACCTGGGCCTCAATGCCCCGTAAGATATCGCGAGCTCCTTCGGACAACGTGGATTCCTCGTCTGGATTTCTTATCCGCTCGAAATCGTCGATCAATAGCTTTGATATTGCCAGAGGGGTTGATTCGGCGGCTATCTGATGTTTGCTACTAGCGCCTGAGAGTTGTTCGTTGAGAGGTAGACTTGAATTCGTTGACGTTCGATCATATGCTCTTTGACTCAGTGTTTCTCGTCTTTGGAACACTGACTTGCCCAGGCGGTCGGCTAAAAACTCTTCGATTTTATCCCATGTCTCTTGAAAGAAATTGACATAAAAGCTATAATCTTCTGAGTCTCGTCTCAGTTTGGCAGACATGATACGGTTGTGAGGAGCGGGGTCTCCGGTCGCGACACGGAGTCTTAACAAGCAGTCGATCAGTCCACGGATTCCCGTCGCTATCTGTTGGAGTTCCGTTTGTGGTTCCGTCATGAAATCTTCCGAGGTGTTTTCTTGGTAGCTCAGCTTATCCCATGGGACTATCTGTCCAGTAAGGATCTTTTCTGCATCGCCTATTGACTCTTTAAGGCCGTTCAGTAATTTGAGGAGTTGGCGTTGAATATGCGGTGCGGTGCGCAGATGGTGGTCAAGATATCCTCCGTCCAACTCAGTGACATCGCGAGTGGTGAAGTCGGCATGCCACGTCTTCAACCGGAATAGATCGCTTTTTAGACTCGGAAGTTGGGATGCGACAGAAGGTCCTCCGTTGTACGGTCGCCATATTCTGATTAGCTCTTCGAAAGAGATAATAACTTCGAAGGCGACATCTCTAAGGAATGGCGCCATGTTGAGACGTCAGCCTGGTGTGAGAAGAAGCGATGTTATCCTGTCTTTGGAATCCTATGATGCTGGTTCAGTTTTGTAAGTATGAAATACGTCCCGGCCGAGGACGGCGATAAAGAGGCTGGCTAAGATTCGTCGAATCCGTTTCTGAATGGGAACCGAACGGCATTGATATGTATCTGTTTCAAAAACCAATGAACAACCTTGTACCTCGAAGATGTATTTACCGACGTGTAGAATGACGCTAGATGAGACGATGAAAGTAAGGCACGTATGAAGGACATGGGCGCTGTTGTTGTGGTCCATGTATGTGGTGAGAAACGCGACGAGACGATTCGAGTCTATCCTGAAGGTCTCCTGCGATTGATTATCTGGAGTTTCCCCGCACCGACGAGAAAACGCCGCGTCGGGCTGGCCTATGATAGTTGGGCGCTTATCTCCCCTCAATGTGCAAATAACGGAGAGGAGTCGCCTGATGTGCTGACATCTTCCGGATGTGAATCTTAACGACTGAACATGAGAAATTAGGCTATGGTGACCTTTGAAGGTTTCTGGCCAGCATTGAACGATGTCCGGTATCGAGGTGGTGGGCGTGGTCCTTGGTACCATACCGCTGCTCATATCCGCCCTGGAACATTATCGACACGGCGCCTCAGCGATACGGATTTGGCGGAGGTATGACAGAGAACTCAAAAGCCTAATAACCGACCTAGAGAACGAAAGGATCAGGCTTCAAGATGTGAGCGAGAAGCTTCTCACTGGCATCGTTCCGGACTCCAAGGTCGATGACATGGTCAATGACCCATTTGGCCCCGCGTGGCATGAGGATGCCGTTCGTAAGATGATCGAAGCGAGGCTTTGGAACTTGAGACCCTATCAGATCTTGCTAGAGAAGGTTGGAGAAATCAAGTTGGCTATCGAAGATATAGCAAAGTTAATCGACCTGCCGTTAAATGAAGAGGTAAGGACAAGTCTTGCATCCCAAAAGTATTTACGTGCTCATCCTGTTTCAGCATCCATCATCGAACGGCGCACCTTTGGCTACAGCACTGAAACGCATCATGTTCGCTGTCGGAAAGTCCACGTACACGGGATCAATAACGATCATAAAGAACAATATCACCGACATTGAGTCGCTGATTGATCGAAGTATCGAAATGGCCCCTAAGAGAGAATCACGAGCGAGAGGCAGGACAATGCAGTTAGTTCACGAACTAGCAGGAAGCCTTCACCAAGCGCTATTATCCAGTTTTCCAGGCAATTGCTCGCATGAGGTATACATGCAAGTTATGCCGCAAACGCTAGGGAGAGTAGCTCGCCGGAGTGACGAGGAGATTCTGCAGAATATTATTGTTTATATGTCCATGAACTTCGGCATTGCTGACCAGGCTGGCGGCTTTCATCAAGGATCTATGTGGGAAGAGATCGTCATTCGCTACCATCAACTCAAAAAGCCCAGACGCTCAGTCGACACCAACAAAACAGTGGGTAATGACGTCCTTCAGGCCGCCCCGGACTCTGATTCGAAGGTCACTATCGCTGCTCCAAACCCGATAGTCAACCTTTGCGAAGAAATACACAAGCGACATATCCAAGGCGGGACCGGCTCTTATGGAGAAATCACAGACAAGACTTCGGAAAAGCCCAGAGAATATCATGTCTACCCTGGCAAATGCCTGCCCGGTCGTGATGCTTGGAGTGCTGTAACTCTGCGGGAGGTTCTCGAGGACCCGAGCAAGTATTCCGGTTTACACGGGCAATACGTGGCAAAGAGGAAATTGGCTGCCTCTGTTTCTGTCGGCTTCCTACAACTACATCAGACGCACTGGCTACCGGATATGATTACAAGTCAAGATGTCTTATTCTTGAAGAAGGACTCTATACTTCGCTATAGCGACACCTTTTTCATGGCCACCCTACCAAGTCTAGACGGAAGATTAGGGAAACAAGCGGCCCCCTTATTCGGTTGTCGGAACCCAGCTTTAGTTTCGCTCGGTATCCTCCTCGCAGAACTTGGGTGCGGGAAGACCATGGAGTCGATGCGAAATACCGACGAAAAGGCAATGCTCGACGTGTCACGGCTGCTCTGCGATAGACTGGCGGCGCATCGAGTATTACGCCACGAGCTTGGAGGTACAACTTACGCCAACGCGGTCAGATGCTGTATTGAGGAAGAGTTCATCAGAGAACACCTGGACTTGACTGATCAGGATTTCAGGCAAGAAGTGTATGAACGAGTTGTGAGGCCGATAGAGGACGAGCATACCGCATACATGTAATGGATTTATGGTCGTCAGGTCCGGTACCAGTTGCCTTGAGGAATGCTCTTTGCTTGGAGCAACGCTTGTCCTCGGAGCTTAGAAAGCTTCGAGTCTATGGGGAAGAGGGGTAACCCAATAACATTGAGGTTTCTTGGCCCGTGCCCAACAGAGCAAAAGCCAAAATCGCCCACTCCTGTCAATGTTCAGTTTCGCAGTCTCTCATAGACTCAGAATAGCCACAACAACCTATTTTTCAACTCTGACAACCCAAAAGACCAAAAAGTGAACACAATAGGTGTTCAAGGTGCAAAATAATTGACCCCCACCCGATTTGAACGGATAACCTTTCGATAGCATCTCGACGAATGTCGAACTGGAGTCGAACGCGCTACCGTTGCGCCAGAGGGCCAGATGCTGATTGTTAAGATTTGGGTAGAAAATACCGCAGATCAAGGGCCGCAGAAAGACGACCTGCGGCTTCGGAATTGGGGGACTGCCCGTCTGCGGGGTTCTGCTCCACCTGAGCCACTGAACGCCCCAGTTCGGCCACAACCTTAACCACCACGTGGGCGCAACAACTCGACGTCGACGACGACGAACGGGAATTCTTCAACGAACGGAGACTCTTGGAGTGGGCTGACTACTTGGAGATTGAATCGATAAGCATGCTGCCGACATATCCGTCTACTCCACGAGTTCGTCGGTAATACGGCGAGTTGTCAAAGCTCTTGCGAACCAGCCACCATCTGTTTGTGCATGGCATTTCCATTCAAGCGGCGTTCTCAGAGCCAGATTTCAGCCCGAACAACTTGTGACAGCGGGTGATCGGCATTCCATCTCGATTTCGATTCAGTATTACAAGCGCTTATCCCGCTGCCCGTTGATTGTGATATGCGGTTTGGGCTCCAGCGATTTGAGTTGCTTGCATCGGAGCTCGATTACCCTCTTCGGCAGGCGGCAAGAAAACTGCCCTGGCACGATCTCCAAGCGACTCCAAAAAAATCCCAAGCCTCGGTCGCATGCACAGTCAGCAGCGTCCATCCTAGGCCTTGGGGTCGATGGCTTGTCAATTATGCTTTTGCTGGTTGGCGGGATTGCCCGTTCAATGTCCGAACCGACAACCTTCAACTTGGCAATGGCAGACTCATGAAACGAGCTGGCTTTAGATTTCTTTAGCTGCCTCTTTCAGCGAGTAGCTTGTACGGCGATGATGATGTTCTGTATTTGTTGTGGAGGTCGCCGCCAGTCGAGACTTCCGTATCTTGCGTACGAAATGTGTTATCGCAGACGTTCCCCATCAGTGTTACGCATGATTTCGAGGGCAGAACAGTGGGTAAGAGGTTTATGTATTACGGAGCCATCGTTAGAGAGCTTCAAGGGCCCTCGCTCCTTAGTAAGACTAAAGTATATGCATGAAGTCATCCACGAGGCTGGCCAAATAGCCAGCCTCACAATTAAGTAGTAATCATGGTCTCAGCCACCATCTTCCGGAGCTTTTCGCCAATGCGCAGAACACTAGCAATGAGATACCCTCTTACAAGACAGCCTTGCCGAGGTTGGTGTTGAAGTTGGCATCCTTCATGGGCACGTTGGCGCTGCCAAAGTCGGTGTTGGTGAGCGCGGTGCGCGCGGCATCAGTGAGAGACTCCCACGCGATGAGGGGCTGCTGGCCGCCGACGTCGCTGGTGAAGATCATCTGGTGGTTGACGGGCCAGACGCTCTGGTAGCCGATACGGGGGCTGGTGCCGGTGTAGTCGATGCCCGAGGTCTTGGTGTCGTACTCGCCGTGCGCGGAGACGGCGACGCCGAGGACGGTGGCCGAGGTGGAGGCAGCGGACAGCCAGACGACGGCGTTCTCCCAGTCGTGGCGGTGGCCCAGGCCGGAGGAGGGTGAGTCCTTGGGCATGTAGTAGGAGTACATGATGGCGTAGGCGCCGTTGTAGGAGGCGCCACGGGCGTAGACCTGGCCGGTGCTGGAGGAGCATCCCCCGTTTGAGGAGCCGGAGGTGGCGAGGCCGCCGCTGTGGATAACGGGTTAGAGATGGACTGAGTGAGGTGCTTGTTTAAGTGAGGTGAACATACCCAGTGTCACCAGCAGCGTTCACGGCAGGGAAGGGCACGCAGCCGTTGACGACCTTCAAGTAAGGCTTGTACTTGAGATACAAGCTACCGACGGTGCCTGAGGGAACGGTCTCGGGGAAGCCAACGACGGCATCGTGAGCAATGACGGCACGGCGTTCGAGAGGAGCGGCGGTGACAGTGCCGGCAGCGGCAGCGAGCCATGCACCGAGACGGAGGAGAGAAGGCGCCATCGTGAACCGAAGATATGATTGGGTATGAAGAGGTGGCGAAAGAGGTGTGAGATGAAGAGGTAGATAAGTAGTCTCTCAGATGAACCGGGAGATCGTCTCTAAATATGTGTATCCGATGTCTGAAACTGTCACGACTGCAGATGATGGCTGTGACGTGGGGAATCTGACTCGGCGGAGGGAAAGAATACTAGCAAACTTGGATGTTGTGATAGACCAGGCCTCGTTCCTGCGTCCGATCAGCGTCGTCTTGCATCTTATAGCTCCTCCCCCGACTCTCGTCGTCTTCTCGGTCCTCTCACGACATGCCATTCATCCACGCGGGCCAGAGAGAGGGTGTCAGCAAGGGGCCACAGCAACCAGGGCGACACGAACCAATACCCCACAAAGCTCATCATCTCCGAGGCTACGGCGCCCCCCTCTGAATGTTAGA